GATATATACTGGCTAGTATTACATTAACTCTGGATACTATTTACACCCTCAAATCACATTGTAACTTGTACTGCTGCGATGTTCATTTCTGTGCCTCTGAAATTTACTGTTTCTTGAATAATCCCGTGCTTTTTCTATTGTTATTTTTCAAGATTATTCACTAGCAATGTTTGTGCTGGGTTTCACCTTTGCTAGACACTAGACAGTGATAAAATCATTGTTTGGTGGTGAAATGCATCCCAGTACTTCAATCATCTCAGGTGGACAGGACATATGTGGGTTTCTTAATGTTAAATATGTGTAAGTGGGACTACTGCTAGACAGACGTAACCTCTAGACAATTATAATTTTTTTTTTTTTTTAGCAAATATGCATTTTTTCGTAAACAAGTGATATTTCTTTTTTTTAATAAAAAAGAACAGCAAAAATAAAAGTATGGTATTTCTTAATATAAGTATGCATTTTTGGTCAAAAAATATGATAGGTCAACCTGAACAGCTATGTACTTTATACAGGAATTTGTGAATAAGTTTGTGGTAAACAATCCCCAATCGATTTGTTTGGTTGAACTGCAAACTAATGAAGTTTTGGGTTGATACTTGTTGTCATGTGGCAACAGAGGACTGCATGTGCTTAAAATACCCACTGTTGAATGGTGCTTCATTAGTACAAGCACAGTGGTTAAAAATATTAATTGATTTAATTGGCAGGATGAGTTAAACTATTTTGTCAGACCTGACTTATCGAATCATGTGTTGACAAAATCTGAACTGTTGATTTTAACATTATAATGACATGAGTAGTTGATGATTGATTTCGACAAAATTTGAATTGTTGATTTTAAGATTATAATGACACGAGTAATTGATGATTGTGTAAATCATTCAGACAATACAAAGATGAATATACCATTTTTATATTTGTTATAAAATCTACAACACATTTATTTTTGTTGTACATTAAGGCTCCGTGTGGTTGGGCTTATTAGGAGGGATATCAAGCTGATTGGTATTATTTCCATGTGTTTAATTTGTTTGGTTGAGGAGACCACTGTGGGCTCCTTTACGGAGCCAACTGTCTACATGGCATGCCTACATGGCAATTCAATAAATCCTATGATTTTTTATTTATTTTTTTAATTCTATTTTTTTTTTCTTTTTGAGAGAACGCAACAGAGGAAGCAGGGCTCTCCATCGACTGAAAAGTACGATGAAGTAAAATCCTCCATTGCACAGATTGGACCTACGACACTTGAAGGAGAACCCTGATCAATTCATCGATTCCCCTAATTGATATTTTTCCCATCCCCACCAATTATTCACCAAATTGGTTTTGAGAGGAATAGCCATGACTGCGACCCAATCATCCTCTTCTCGCAACGACAAAGGCAGTCCCATCCCCACCGGCCTAGCCATCCCCGCCGCGACGACTGTCGCCGCCTCCACTTCCCGCCCGACGGGATGTCGACCCTCACCAGCACGTACAGGGACAAGTGGTAATCTCCCTGCTGCAGCACCATTCAATTCTGAATACTCGCAAGATACTCCAGCAATTTACACAGGGATCGAGACAGAACAAGTTGATAAAGTATTCATTCCTCAAGTTGATTCCACTGTTGTGCCTAAAATCGGTCTACAATTTCAATCAGATGATAGGCTCATATTTTCTATAATACTTATGCTAAAGACGCCGGGTTTAGCATTAAAGTTCGGAACAACAAAAAGAATAAAATAGATGGCACGTTTGTTTGGAGGAATTTCACTTGCTCTAAAGAAGGTAAGACAAATGAGTCTTATCGAAAGAATAAACATGTAGTGGCAGAAACAAATGAACGAAGAAGAGGGGAAACCAGATGTAATTGTCCGGTGCGAATGAGTGTTCCAAAAGACAATGAAATTTGGGTAGTGAAGGAGTTTGAAGAGAAGCATAATCATCCTCTTGCAACTCCTAAAAAGACTCATTTACTTAGATCTCATCGAGTTGTGTCGGCTACAAAACGTGCGCTTGTTCAGGAGTATGATGAAGCAAATATACGAACATCCCAACAAGTTAGATTGCTTGAAATTACTTCTGGTGGTCCTTCTATGATGGGATGTTTGGAGAAGGATACTAGGAATGAAGAAACATCACGTAAAGCGGAATTGAAAGGACATGATGCACTTACCTTGATTCACCAATTCGAAATGGAAAAAGAGAGGAATGAGAATTTCTATTACGTTTATGAGACAGATGATGATGGTGTTTTCTTAAGGTGTTTCCGGTCCGATAATGCATCAAAAAGTTCATATGCGTTGTTTGGTAGTGCAGTTGTATTCGACACCACTTATAACACAAATAAGTATGGAATGGTGTTCGCGCCTTTTGTTGGTGTCAACCATCATAGACAGACCACTGTGTTTGGTTGTGGGTTACTCAGTGATGAGAAAGCGGAGTCTTTTGTTTGGTTATTTTCTAAATTTCTAGTTGCAATGATAAACCAACCGCATCCAGAAATTATTATCACTAACCAAGATGCTGCTATATCAGTTGCTGTGGCTGAGGTATTTCCAAGTACCATACATCGATATTGTATTTGGCATATCTTAAACAAATTTTCCGAAAAGCTCGGTCCTGTCCTTTATAATTTACACCACCGTATTTTATTTGAGATTATTAAAGACTCTGAGACTCCTAACGAGTATGAGTTTAGGTGGAATTCATTGATGAGTGCTTCTCAATTGAGCTGTAATGAGTGGTTTTCAAAGATGTATGATATCCGTAGTCGTTGGGTTCCGGCATATATGAAGGATGTTTTTTCTGCTGGAATGTCTAGCAGCCAACGAGTTGAAAGTAATCACGCATTTTTTAAGCGATACCTCGATAAGAAATGCTCATTGAATGATTTTTTCACTCGTTTTAGTAGGGTTGTTGCTCATCAGAGGCATGAAGAATTAATGGCTACTTATATTGATCTTAATGAGAAGCCGAGGGTCAACACTTCATTTGCAATGGAGAAGCAGATGGCTGAGATATATACGAAAACAATATTTTTGTTGTTTCAGAAAGAGTTCGAAAAAAGTGCATTCTATAAATGTACAGTGATCTCAAGTTCCATAGATTGCCGAGTTTATGTGGTTTGGCGGTTTGATATTGAAATGACTACCCAACGTCGACGTCACTTGACATATGATGCCTCAAAGGATTTTGTAACTTGTAGTTGCAAACACTTTGAGTTTGAAGGGTATCCTTGTCGGCACATGTTATGCTGGATGAGAGTAGAACATGTGATGTTACTACCAAAAGAGTATGTTAAAGAAAGGTGGACAAAAAATGCAAAGAGTACTCTTTTGTATGACACACCGCATGATTTTGTAGAAAGTAAGTCTTTACAAGGTAGGTATGGAGCATTGATGCACATGGCACGAGAGCTCATTGATGATGCGTCGTTGACTGAAGCACGAAGCAATTTTTTAATGGAAAAATTCAAAAATTTGAAGGCGACGTAGCGCAAATTGATGATGGGGAATGCAAAGGTAAGTGCTCTTCTAAAAGACAAAATAGGGACGAGATGCTACTCATATGTGACCCCGAGCCTGTACGAACTAAAGGTTGTGGAAAACGTCTAAAGTCAAGTAAAGAGAAAGCCATGTCAAAAAGTGCTCGAACTTGTAGCTCGTGCCATCAGAATGGCCATGACAAGCGAAAGTGTCCGAGTTACAACATACGGCTTGAAGATGATCCATATCGTACAGACATGTCGAGCTTTCATAATTTTATATAATCTGACTCCGTATTTGGTTTTTAAGTTGTTATTATTTTTTTTGGATGATTCGTTTTATTTCTAGTTCTGAAGCATTTGGAGTATAACTTGTTATTTTTATTTGTTCTTATTCTGTTTAGGTTTAGGTGATTGGAATAAGACAAAATTCAACTATGCAAATTTAGTACTGAGAAGCATATAGTTTTTCAGTCTTGGAATATATGATTTTTCAACTATCCATTGTTTATATCACTGTAGTCGCAAGCGGTTTGATGATATTAATCAATTTATCCATTGTTTATATCACTGAAGTCGCACGCAGTTTGAAGTAATATTTTTAGCAGTAATGAACTAAGGAGCAACATCCATGGACATGATAATGTTTAACTGTGCAATATTTTGTATTCACACGACATATGAAACCAGTCATATATACACAACTTATGCTTCAGTATTTACAAAATCTGCAAGTAAGCAGTTTTCTAAAGACATCTATTTACAAATCATAATGATGTACAAGCTAAACCATTGCAACACATACTCTATCCACATATTATCATCTCTTTTCTGACAGGACAATCTGAAATTTATGAAGTCTAGAAATAAGAAAAAGCTCTAGTCTTATAATCGTTTTCTTCTGCTGCGGTTTGGAGAACTTATTGAGTTCCAATTGACTTGTAAAGCACCTTGCAAATTGAGTCAATTGTCTGCGTCAACAGGGCTGCCAGTTACATACGTGACATGAAAAGTATCCCTTGCTTGTCTGCCCTTTTGTCGAGATTTTGGTTCTTTTGATGCACAAGCTGTTTTTCCTTAAATATCCCATCATGTCGAAAAATAGAAAGGGTCCTGCAATATTTAAGCAATAATGCAACTCATACATCAGTAGAAAGGTTCTTGCAATATTCAAGGAATAATGACTAGAAAGGTTCTTGCAATATTCACAAACATTTTATGATGTCAACAACAACAGGCTAAATAACTAGAACCAGCAAAATGTGGCAAAGATATCTAGACTCATTAGATTAACACAAAAGTACAATGGATACACCACCACTTCACACAAAGTTCAATGTAACCACCACAAGCAGAAAAGAAATGAGTGTCATGAGGGGTATTTCATTTGCAATGCTGAATTTTATACCATGATTTTTTCATTTTTAGAAGAGCTCACATCACTTATTTTAACCAACCACAAACCAGGTACTGAAATAGTTACAAAAAGTAGTGTCATTTTTTTTATGCAGGTATCAGGATACTATGGCCTTCTACCAGGTACTGAAATAGTTAACCAACCAATCTTATGTATGAGATGATAGCTTTTATTGTCCTTAAGCATTGCAGCTATGTCCTTCATGGTAGGTCTATCATCTGGCGAAAGATTCACACAAAACATAGCAGCTCCTAGAGTTTGCAGCATCTATTCAACTTCGGGCTCGGGCCTATAGGCTGTTTACCGGTTAAAACTTCGAGCACCACAACTCCGTAGCTGTAGACATCACTCTTTTCTGTGATCTTCATCATGTATCCATACTCTGAACATTATCAGGACAAGAAAATATGGTGAAAATAAATAACCAAAAATATATAACTTGGTAGCTAAAACAATGTAAAGAAGGCAGAACTAACCAGGAGCAATATATCCATAGGAGCCCGCAACACCAGTCGACGAGCGAGCGAAATCCCCATCATCTACAAGCTTCGCAAGTGCAAAATTTGCAATATACGGCTCGAAATCGAGCCCGACCAAAATCCGATAAGCACCCCCAAAAACTTTACTATGTTATTGTGCCGGATGGAACCGAGCGTGTGGACCTCCGTCGAGAACGAGTTACGGGCCGTCACACCCCATAGCTCTTTAATTGCAATGATCTCACCGTGGATTGTTGATGCTTGACAAAATGGATTGTTGATGTATCGTTGTTTTCATCTTCTTCTTGCTTCTGGTGAATTTGCCCAAAAAAAAACCTAGAAAAAAATGAATTGTTTGTGAATAATTGCGTGTAGGAGATTAATTAGTATGCTGAAGATGACTAGGATTTATTGAATTGCCATGTAAGCATGCCATGTAGACAGTTGGCTCCGTAAAGGAGCCCACAGTGGTCTCCTTAGCAAAAAGTATAATGACATGAGTAGTTGATGATTGATTTCGACAAAATTTGAATTGTTGATTTTAAGATTATAATGACACGAGTAATTGATGATTGTGTAAATCATTCAGACAATACAAAAATGAATATACCATTTTTATATTTGTTATAAAATCTACAACACATTTATTTTTGTTGTACATTAAGGCTCCGTGTGGTTGGGCTTATTAGGAGGGATATCAAGCTGATTGGTATTATTTCCATGTGTTTAATTTGTTTGGTTGAAATCTTTTAAGTCCTGTAAATGTCTTAAGCCCGGTGTAGTATCACACAATATGGTTATGCCATATCCCATCTTGTTGGTGTGATACCATATCACGCTTTTAAATATAAAAGACTTAATTACATAAATATCCCAAAGTTCGTCAAAACTCAACCAATGCCATTCCCAACCAATTTCAATCGCAACCTTCTTCTTCCACATCGTCCCTAACTCGCCACCGGAAAGCATGATTTCCGGCAGATCGCCTAGAAGGAAGACGCCCTGAGGCCCCTCATTGTGGCACCAAAAATCTGACTGGGAAGGGCAAGTGAAATTCTCATTTTCTTCAGATCCACGGAAAATCCACGGTCGGGTGGCCGTGGCCGGAGACGCTCGTCGAAAATCCAAGTTTCTTTTAGATCCACGAAAAATCATTTTTCTTTCATATTCACGATCTTAGCCCATCGGAGATGCTCTCGGCGACCGCCGACTCGCTTCGCCGCGGCCAAAGCCTCCCAGAGACACCTTGAAAGGCTCAGATCGACCGACTGTTCTTCAAGCCCGGCAAGCGAGCTCCATCGTCGAGCAGGCCAAGTTCATCGGTGATTCCTGGGTGGTGAGCCCACTGAGTCGCTGGTGGCCATGAATTTCCGAATTTGATTTACGATTTCAGAGGTCTTGGAGGCGACAATGGTGGACAGACAATTCTGAGACGGTGATGGTGTCTTGCAATGTGAGGGTATGTGGGGAAGAAAGTGGGAAAATTAGAGATTGTGAGTTATTAATATCTAAACCAAACATTTTAATAGATTATTGGGCTTGATATCAAAAGGAAAACAAACGAGTTAATGGGCTATATTAAATTGAATGGATAAAGCTAATAATTGACATGAGAATTTATCAAGTTCAATCAAAAAGTGCAACCAAACTGACCCTAAGTGATATGCATGTAACCAACCAGCTAGTCTAATGAGTGAATCTTCTTTTAATACACATTTTGGGTAAAATGCACCCTTATGGGGAAAGACTTCATGTGGGGAAAGGAGTATCCCAAAAGTTCCAACAATCCCAGAAATGAAACAAATTACAATCATAAAAATGATATGATTAAGAGACACAATACTGCAATTTATATAGACTCGAGTCCATAATGCAATTTGATATAATGAATATATAAATGATGGTGATAAATTTATTTATAAGTATGTGAGTAATGAAAGAGAAGATGGGATTATCAATGTCTGATTGTATGTAGCATATGCATCATCATAAACATGCAAGGATAAATATGAGCGATAGTAATAATAGCAATAATACATTGTATTTGTATGAATATATTTGAGATGAATGTAAAATAAAACTAAAATTGATCACTTATTAGTTGTATATCATCACAAAAGAGCATGTTTAATTATGAACACCACAATGTACCTGCTATATTAGAGCATTACAAACAATACACGGAATNACTACAAAAACAATAACACGTAAACCCATAAAAAGAGACTAATCATTAACAAGCAGATCATTGGCATTTATCGAGAACATGACCATATTTTCTTTGATAAAAGTATTAGTAAAAGTGTAAAATCAAACGTTTATTCCTTTTTATAGAAATTTGGTAGTCGCTTAAACCTGGTTAATGTGCATTTATATCATATAGGAAAATGAATTTATGGTAAAAATATTTAGTATTTTCATGGAGTTAAACGATTCCGAGATTATCCTAGTGTTAGGAGATTGGTGTAAAATTAATAGATTGAACTTCATTTAGATGTTTAACCCTTTCTAATCTGCTAATTAATTTATTTGCTAAATAGCTTGTTTGTTTAGCTCTTTGAGCTCAAAATATTAATTATGAAAAAACTGAATACATGAAAATTTTGAGATTAAATGATTCACAAAATAATGAATATAAAATTTTCAAACTAACTATACATTTCATTATTTATCAAACAATCTATATATATATATATAATAAGAATTACCATTTACCAAAAATAGTAGCAAAAAAATAGGTCAGAATTTAATGCAACCTATAAATAGTAAGTTTTATTATTTTTCTTAATTTTTCCTTAAAAAATCATACAACATTAACTGCTACCTTCAATTTTGAGCTTTAGTTCATTTTATTATTTAAAAAATCCAACCAAGATTTATTAAGTGTGTATGTTTTTATTTTTATTTTTCTCTTAGAAACAACAAACAACATTAAATAATTATAAAATCTCAATTCAAATATAACAAAAGTTTTAGAATCTCGATCTTTATATTTGTGCCTTTAAGAAAAATATTGAACGCTAAAAATATTCTTTAAATTGCATAATCAATCAATTAATTTTAATTTTTTGAAAATTATTATATTTATTTTTTATTAATATGCATAAAGTAAAAATAATTAATTCAAGTTTAGATATATAATTTATAATCTTAATATACTATCGTTTGGTGTAGACATTTATTATATGAATCATAAAATATTTTTATTTCATAAAATTAAATATATTTAAATAAAATGAGAAAATTTCTTCGGATCAATCGGGTGATTGAACTAGGGTACTGCCCAAGTTGATTGATTACTTCTAGATAATATTTAAAATAGTAAAAAAACTTGACACAACTTGATTGGTCCCAAGTGACTAAATTATGTATCAGTTCGACCACACCAAATCAATTATTGAACTTAAATATAAATTTTATATTGAAAATATTTTATTACGTGAATATGATGTAGTCCAAACTTCAAATAATCGTATTAACAATACTTTTATGACAACATGTTTACTGATTTATGAATATTTATATATCATTTTATTAATATTTATGTGAATTAAATAATATTTTACTATAATATTTATTAATGTACAGTAAATATAAGATTTTCAGAACTGGACCGTCATCGAAACAATCAAGCTATTTTATTAAATCATTTGTGGTTTGTTCAGATTTTAATTTATAAACTTTTTAATAGATATATATATATATATATATAGTACTTTTTGTAATAAATTTAAATAAAATGTGTTACTTAGATATCTAAATAATTTATAAATTCAAATGTTTAAACTAATTGATAAATAATTTATAAACCTCTATTTTATTTAAATATGTAATTTATTTAAAATAATTTTAAATATAATAAAATTTATTTAGAAAATCGTATCAATCCTACCAGTACAACCGACTGGTGTTTACGGATTCGAGAACAAATATTTTATTCAAGCGAACTAGACTGGTTATAAACCGATTGTCGGTCCATCCGGTCGGACTGTGTCCAACCCGGTTTAATTTAAAAACAATGGATAAATCATGATTAATGTTATTTATATATTTAATTTAATCATAATGTTATTTTCTCGTGCATCGCACGGGTCACGCACTAGTTATTTTACAACATAACTAATATAATCTGCTAGTCAAATCAACTATTACAATCCGCTGATACAATATAACATATTCACTATTTGCTATTAGCTAATAGACAACAATGCATGCTATAATGAAAATTTGAATGAAGACTCAATAGACAAATGTGAAATTCATGTAAAAATACTTGTATTGCTAATTCCAATCGACTTTGCAGGTTTCATAAACCGATGAATATATTTTTTTGGTGTTGTTTTCGTTAAACATTTAATTTTTGTGGAGATGAAACAATAAAATCTCTACCTGCAGAGTTTTACGAATTTACGTGTTAAATTTTGATATTCGAATTGCGTAATTCTATATATCGAATTTCATCCTCTGTAATTTTTATATCAATTTCTAATGTGTCGAAATAGCTCATGTAGGTTTGGACTTTATTCGTGACGTTTAAAATTATAAAACACTTAGCAGCTTTCCACACACAAATAAAATAAATTAATTTGTCGTATTAAATTAATCATTTCTTAATGAGCTTCAATTTATTGTATTACATAAATAAAATAATGATTTTATTTATCTTTATAATAAAAGTTATATATTAATATTAATTGAAAAATAATAAATTTATTTATCAATTTATTTTTTTTTTTCAAACCATTATACGGTATGAGTTAGAAAAATAGTATAATATAAGATTAATAATTGTATTTTTAAAATAAACCTATTTAAAATTTAAAATAAAGTCTATTTTTTTTAATTATTTTTTTAGTTTTTTGGTACTACTATATTACAAAGGATGGACTATAGAGTGAATCATATTATCTTCCTTCAAACTATTTACATGACTAGTAGGATGGTGAGTTGGTATAAAAATTTAGTTTAAATGTCTTGTTAAATGGAGTAAAACTTATGTACCGAAAAATAAAAAATGGAGTAAAACTTTATTCAGATTGCATAGTAATTAGTATTTATCAATTAACCATATTCACAATCCACAAAGGTCCAATTTATCAAAATTGTTTTATACTCATATTTTACAAAGAAAAATACTACAAGTACATAATAAATGTGCATATATGTGTACATAACACTCAAATAGAGTGTGAATCGTGATCCATTTAATTTTTTATTTTTGATAGGACTCACTCAATATGAGTGTTATGTACACCTCTATATACATTATTATGTACATATAGTATTATTCTTTTGGAAATATGAAGAGAGAAGACAAAAAAATAAGAAAAAAAAAAAAACAAAAAACCTCTTAGCATTATTACAACTAACAATCAAGAAGTCTGCTAAACATTTGTTTCTTAACAGCGATTATTAATAAAAGGAAAAAATCAAAAAATCATCTTAACGACAAACCAGAGAAAATTGTCTCCGACATTTTTCACCATCCCACACACCCCTCGCGATTCTCCGACCACCACCATCTTAGATTCGCCACGGCTCCGCCGCCGCCGCCGCTGGCGACGCCCATAAATCAGCCGCCTTGCAGACACCTGCTGCGGCCGAGACGCCATATTTTCTGGCTGAATTCGGAACGATCTCATCTCCAAAAGTCGACGCACCGTGCTGTTGAGCCCTGTGCTCTGCACCGGATAAATAATTCTTCCCTGACTGCGCACTCCCGAATTCCACCTAGATCCCGCTAAATTCATGTTCCATGTAGAATGCATCTCGATTGCTATCGATTGATGAATTGATTCATCGATCGGATTTGTCATCTTCTCGATTCTGGTTGAGATTCTCGGGGAATGGCCGGGAATACGTCGAATATGGATCAATTTGAGGCCTATTTCCAGAGAGCGGATGTGGATCGAGATGGCCGAGTCAGTGGGAATGAGGCCGTTGCTTTCCTCCAAGCTTCGAATTTACCCAGACAAGTTCTGGCTCAGGTATTGGATATACTAACTCATCTTTGGGATGTTGAAAAGCATTAGGATTGATTAGCTTCCTTAACGAACTTACTATTTGATGTTTTCAGTGCCCATCTCAACTTGTTTATTCCTTAATTGGTACTACAATAGGAGATATGTGGAACTAGTTTCTCCTGTTTTAAGTTTTTTAGTCCAGTCTCAAGTCAAACTCTGTGCAGCCACTTACTATATCTTGTATAGTCAAGCAACTAGAAGATCGAGAAAGTATCTGCTATTTGCTTCTAGTTAGTAAGATCCTAACTTAAAAGCGACATGCAAGTTTTGCAGTAGATCCAGTTGTGGGACTAAAAACATTGAAATACGCTGATGGGGTAATTGGTTTTGTTTCTTTCTATATTTTTTCTTGGTTTACTTGCTGTGCTGTCTAATTCTACTTTTTCATTGAGGTTAATGTTACAAGCATGCAGCCAAAGCAGCTGAAAGTTCTAAATACACGGAAATCTTATTTTTAATATTTGATGGTGAAATATAATGGGTGGATGGCTTTTCAGTTGGTTAAGAGCAGGTTGTCAAACATGTGTCTGTGCATTAGCGTTTGTTGCAATGCAATGAAGTCTTCACTATTTACCATTTTTTTGATCCATTGTCCATCAATCTTATTATCTGCAATAGTGGCAAGGAATGCTTATCACTGGAATTTTGCTCTGAATGGGATACTATGGATTAAATATTCAGCGATACCACTAAAACTCAAGAATATATGCTGCTAAAAAGAGATATAAGTTGTTTCATTTCATAAAGTGCTAGAGGGGAGAACCAGTATTGCAGCCGAGAGAACAAGACTTTTACAGATTGGCTGACAAATACCTACCTTTATCAGTCTAGAATTGGGCAAATATTTTGCTCACATTTTCTCTCTAGTTGTGTGGACCGTGTGGTGATAAAGTAACTTCTCTAAATGACCTAAATGTGCAAGTAATAAGAGTTTTGAAAAGTTATTTCTGAAATAGAGATCAGCAAGATTTTACCTGGCGCTGGATCTTGGTGTTGCTGGCATTTTGAAGGCTATCCATTTACTGATATTTTGTGCCGGTCTCCTCCATATAGGTGCTTACATTAGTCATCGATCTGGCGCATACTCCATCTAGTTTGAACCTGTCTGGGCGTGGATATTTTCTTGTAGTTACAATCTGAGTTTCACTGAGGCATAATTAAGTTTTACTGCCTTGCATCTAACACTTTAAATGTACGCTTTTGTGGTTTTCTTGCAGATATGGACGTATTCTGATCAAAATAAAGTTGGTTACCTGGGTCGTTCTGAATTTTATAACTGTCTTAAACTTGTTACCGTGGCGCAAAGCAAGCAAGAATTGACTGCAGATCTCGTGAAGGCTGCCTTATATGGTCCAGCTTCAGCCAAAATCCCTCCTCCACGAATAGGTCCACAAGCAACTCCAAATGCAGGCCCATCTTCTGTTCAGTCGTCTGGCAATCCTCCCTCTACTCAAGGAATTGGTATAAGTGGCTCTCATGGTTTTTTGACTCAGCAAAGTCAAATCAACAGGATGCATCGGCCTCCACCTCCAAGTTCTGGATTTCAATCCCAGCCAGGCTTTCAAGCCCAAGGAATTCCTGGTACAGGTTCTGCAGTTGCATCTCGTCCCCCTAATTCCTTTCATTCACTTGGTGGGACTACTGATGGCTCCCAAGGCAGACTTTTTTCTCAAGTTTCAAACAGAAACATAATCCCTTCTGCAACTCAAGGTGACATTGGCCTTCTGGCGCCATCTATTACTCAACCTAAGTCACCTGAAACTACTGGGGTGGTGCAATCTGCTTCATCCAAGCCGAATGATGCAGCTTTGTTGAGTTCCCAGGTTGGGAAGAATAATTCAAGATCGCCTTCAGCTACAGGAAATGGCTTTATCGCGAACTCAGAGTTTGGAGATGTGTTCTCAGCAGCCCCATCCAAACCACATAATAATCCAGATGCAGTTACGTATTCTGTGGCTAACATAACTGCTGTCTCAACTGGGAATTTGACTTCCTCAAGTGAACAGCCTACTGTTAAGCCAAAGGTTGTTTCTCAACCGTCGGCTATTCAAGCAGAGCAGTTCCAGTCTACGGGCAAAGCATATCAACACGTTCCAGCACAAAAATCTGCAGCATATCCTATGGCAGCTGGACAATCTCAGTCTCCATGGCCAAAAATGACCCAGAGTGATATTCAGAAGTACCGAAAGGTTTTTGTTCAAGTTGACACTGACCGAGATGGGAAAATTACTGGTGAACAGGCACGCAACTTGTTCTTTAGTTGGAGGCTACCGCGAGGTATGATATACTTTGGTGTAAGATGTAACACCCTTTCTTTAGTTTTATTCTCTTTAACTGCTACCATTTTTTCTTATATGAAAAAATATGGTCCGTAGTGACTGAATATTGTCCATGCCTCCAGAATAACGAATATTTTGGCTATTGTCCATATCAGCTGCCTTTGCTGCGGCCTCACTTATCTTTAAGAGGTCCAACTGATTATGAAGGGTTGTAGTTTCACATAAGTCAAGTTTGTAGTAGTTTATGGCAGAAGGAAAATTCAGTAATTAGAAGAATTAACTTTTTTGCTATTGTTTTNGTATTTTTGCTATTGTTTCTCTTTCTCTTGTTAGGTAGAGAATGAAATGATGATTTGGCAAACTTACCAGGATCTATGATTTCTTTTTTTGTTTTATGACGATGTTATATGTTTTTGCTAATGCACTAATATCTGTAAGATTAAACCAATGAACTTCCCTAGTTTTAACTCTGTTAGTACATTAATCTTGCAACTCTTTTAAGATAAAGCGTTCGAAATGGTTAACTACTAGTATGTTGATATAATGTTGTGCCTCAAACATAAATGATACAGATATCAGATATTTATGGGACTAAGTACCTTCATGACTCTTCTATGGTTTCATATCCACCTTCTAAAAAAAGTTTCCCCGCTACAAATGCATGCGTCCTGATCTGGTTTAGTTATATTTGTTTTACTAGAGGTCCTGAAGCAGGTCTGGGACTTATCGGATCAAGACAATGATAGTATGCTTTCTTTGAATGAATTCTGCATTGCTCTCTACTTGATGGAGCGATACAGGGAAGGACGCTCTCTTCCAGCGACACTTCCCAGTTCTATTATATTTGATCAAACATTGTTGCCGAGCTCTGGTCAACCTGCTGCTGCCTATAGCAATGCATCTTGGAGACCTTCCCCTGGTTTGATTGTAGTATTTCAATTTATATGTTATTGAAACCTTAGTTCCTTATCCTTATTATCTGTCCATCTTTTATTAGGTTTCCAACAGCCCCCAGGGGCTAAAAATGCACGTCCTATCACTTCCACTGGTGTTGGAAAGCCACCTCGTCCTGTTCCCCAGCCTGATGAGCCCATCCAACAAAAGGCCAAAGTTCCAGTCCTGGAGAAGTATCTTCTAGATCAGCTTAGCACAGAGGAGCAAGATTCACTGAACAAAAAGTTTGAGGAGGCGAAGGATGCAGAGAAAAAGGTGATCTTATTTATGAGGATGCTTGCTGCTTTCTCTTCTCTTATCTTCTCTTTCACCTTCAGTTGTCTGATCTTGTTATGGCTATTGATATTTTATTTGGGCCATGGAATTGTCTTTAAATTGGATTCATTTAGGTCCTTTAGGATACTAGATGTAGATGCATTATTCTTATATGGTACTGTAGTTGTTTGAAACTTGTAAAGCATAGTTGTTAAGAGTGTTCCTATATGACACATAGGCGAGGGGTGATAGTTTGTCACCTTGCTGGATGATTGTTTCCTGAGCAATCAAAATGAGTGTGTATTGCGTAGGCCGTCTAGCGTTGCTTTCTGAGAGGTGATAGGTGATTTCGGATTGGTTGATGAGGTTTTCTGTTTTCCTTTTTCTAATTTTTCTGTTATGACTTATGAGTAGGGTTCAGGATAAGTTCTTTAAATCCTAAGTAGCGGCCTAACACCGAAATCATTCCATGCTGTTGCTGTTCCCTAAACGCACCCATAATCCTTCCATATAATCCTGCTATTCTTAGAGTTTAATTTCAAACATGTTGGAACTGATTTCTCTTCTCCAAGGGAAGATTGATAAGTACAAAAGGGGCACAGATGGAAAACTCCTTTTAGGGCTCTCTCAAATAAATAAATTAGTTAGATTTTATTATCTTGAGTGATTGGTAGAAATACATGGACTTTCCGTATATGAATCAAGAATGATTTTATCTTGATTGATGTGAAAAGAATGACTTTCTTGTCATTGGTTAGATGAGTTCCCTGGTTTAATGCTTTTATTTTCTCTTTAAATTGCTAAGGGCATGCTTGTTTATAAATTATTTCACTCACTTTCCATTCATACTCAAAATCTAACTCAACTTTAACTCAACCGCACTATCTTTAATATAATTCATATAATTAAATAATACAAACCAATCATTCTTACACATCACATCAACTTTAATTCACTGTTCATCCACTCACATAATTTTAACTACCTATTATTTTCAATCATTTATCTCCTACTTTTACATCAAATCAATTTTAATCATTTTACTTTAAATATTATTTTAATACATTCTTAAAATTCCACTAACAACTAACCATACCACCTTTTTCAAAATTAACTCTAGTTAATCAAAATAACTTATTTTGGACGAATTATTTTGTAAACAAGCGCGCCCTACGCATCTCACTCTATAAATTGGCTTTGTTGTGAAGGAAACGACAAATATATATTAATAAGTTCATGTTTTCTTCTCTATATTCTGTCTTCTTTAATCTCTTTCTCTATCCTTCTATTTTTCTTGCCTAAATTCCAATTACTAATATATGCTGTCACGGATTAAATTGTTCTCATTCCATTGATAATTCACTGTTTAATCTAGAGTTAGAACACAATGTCCATGCAAGTTCTTTGGATAACAAATGGTACAAGCCAATTCATTTCTTCCATATCTGTGAGTATACTCTGCTCGTCTCCTTGAGATTCACAACTCACCAAACTGGGTGGTTCATAGGCTAGTGAAATACCTGGGTCAAGGGTTCAACCATACACAATATCAATTATATTCCTACTTCTAATGATCACATGTTGGACCGTACCGTAGGTTTCAGTGTTATTAGAGGTGTGCTTGAGGAGTGAGTTGTGGGTCTTAGAGGAAATTGCCTCCTGCTACCTGAGACGATATATATATTTTGGTGCCGTACAATTCTACCTCTTGGTGTCCAGCATCCTCCTTTCCAGTTTTTCTTTTTTTGTTGCCTGAAACATAATTATAATTTATCACAAACTGCCTTTTTTTAGCTTTAAACTAACTAGAAAAGCCTCTACAAAGATATTGGTGTTTCATGTGAGATAAAGCTTCTTGGATACATTTCATTTGTCATATAAACATTTAGGTGATTTTGATGAAACTTATATCCAAAATTTGCATACTTGCTAGTGATGTTATGCTCATTATTGCTTGCTAAATTGTTAGGGATATTGTCATATATAATTTAAAATTTTTAGGGCACCTCTAATAACTGTCTGTTGCCCAGAATTCAAATTCAGAACTTAAGATTGATGTGATGAGAATTAATCTGTCATGACCAGTTATGATTGGCATGTTTCTTGGACATAGGTATGCTCTTCTAAGTTCTAATGAGTAATGAGCTAAGCATTAGTTGAAATCAGAGTGGAATAGTGCTTGGCATTTTATGTTTGTAAGTTCAGAAGGCAATTTAGGTGGAAGAGAAACATCGTAACAGTCGAAGAATTTGGCCATCTTATTTGCGTGATCCGTATTAATTTGGGTATTTGTTTACTTCATTTTTTTCTGAAAAGGATGGGTATAATGGTACTCAGATGGTAATCATACTATCTATTAATGGTATTTGTTAGGTTATGTTTTTTTGCTCAACAAAATGTACCACATGGCATTTGTTGTAAAAACTTTAGTGCCTAATATAAACTGTACAGTGTGCTCTTAATAGTTCTTTTAGACAGATTTTGACCTGCTTTCTCCTCTAATTGCATTGCTCGTCTCTGTACTTAATTGTAGCTGTTAAGGTGAGCTAATGGTTGTTGTTATGCTCTTTCCCCAAGAATTAGATGTATGTGATCAGCAGACATCACTTGTTCTAGCATTTACACCTGCCTGGTAGATACTGGAGGGAAAACGAATGTGGATTGTGTCCTTGCTCCTTTCTGCTGGACCATTTATCTTATTATGTTTATCTGCTCATCTTTTTTTATGCAGGTGGCAGATCTGGAAAAGGACATTTCGGAAGCCAAACAAAAAGTTCAATTCTTCCATGCCAAGATGCAAGAACTTGTGAGTTTATTGTTTATTTAAAGTCCAAATGTCAATGTTGGTGTAATAGCACAAACTTAATGTGGTCTTTATATGCGTTCTCTGGAGTATAAACATGAATTTGCTCAAACAGTTGAAAACATATGTACGTTGTGCTTATACCCATTCTCTCTTTTATTTTTTTAATCATCTTAAGAAATGACATTTTTCAGGTTCACTTTCATTTTTTGCTCATTGTGAAAATCGTTGATTGTTCACTTTCATATACCTACCTTATACTGTGTTTTGATTCTAGATTCTATACAAAAGTCGATGTGACAATCGCCTGAATGAGATCTCTGAAAGAGTTGTAGCTGACAAAAGAGAGGTACTAATTGACATTTATGGACCTATCTGGCATGAAGTGCTATATTTGATTCTTGACTTGGAAATTTGTTAATTCAGGCTGCATCGTTAGCAAATAAGTATGAAGAGAAGTACAAGCAGGCTGGCGATGTTGCATCAAAATTAACAATTGAAGAGGCCACATTCCGTGATATTCAGGTATCATCATACTGTATGTTGCGTGGTGGAATCATCGTAATTTTTATGCATATTTATTTGCTGGATTTGAATGCTTGTGTTATTTTTTTACGTATTTAATTGTTTGTTTTGTAGGAGAAAAAAATGGAACTTTATCGAGCGATCATCAAATTGGACCAAGATGATGCTCCTGGTGCTCAGGTAATGTTCTTTGAATAGTCTCTAGAAGTCATGGGAGATATTCTGATTACATACTTGTTGTCTATTAGGATCGAATTAATCAAATTCAGTCAGAACTTGAGGAACTTGTTAAAGCTTTGAATGAACGGTGCAAACTTTATGGATTACGCGGAAAACCAACGTCACTCGTCGAGCTTCCATTTGGTACATTTTCATACTTACTTTTGTTAATAAATGTGATCTTTAAGAATACTTAGTTGTTTAGGAGGAAATGTGAGCACAAGTTTTTAGCATCTCTATTCATTACTATCATGGATCAGCATATGCTTTGAGATAATGATCTGTAAGCTGTCACTGTATCAATTACTAGTTCCATTCAAGTAGGTAAACTGCATTTCATCTGGTTACACTTTTCTAACACTTCTCATGCACACGGAGAACTGATGAACCACAAGCTTAAAGGCACAAAAAATGACCATCTTTGCCGGGAATTATGAAGTTAAATTACAACAAACTTCACATTACCAACTTGCTGATTTACATGAAAACACGATTAGCTTCCTCATGCTTAATGGGGATATCTTTGTAGATTTTCTTTCGATGCTCAATATGCTGTTGAAATTGCTATCCAGGGTGGCAACCTGGCATCGAAGCAGCAGCAGCTGATTGGAATGAAGATTGGGATAAGTTTGAAGATGAAGGTACCGAAATTACCAGTGATTTTAATCTCACTTTCATTTAGTAACAACTAATTGACTTTTTGCGCTGTCCACAATCAGGATTCACTTATGTCAAGGAGCTTACTCTTGAAGTGGAAAATGTTCCCGCTCCTCCTAAACCCAAGTCTGCCTTAATTAGAGAACAGATTCATTCATTAGACAAAAAGGACATCGCAAAATCACCTTCTAATGCTGATGACAGTTCAGAACCGCCAATTTCAGACGAAAGAGCACATGAGAACGAGAGTCTACAAACTCACAACTCGGAACAAACTGCAAAAAGTTCACCCGACAGTCCTTCAGGAAGCAAAACAACTGTTAGCCCAACCAAGGCAAGAGATGTTAACGCAAATGGCTCGCCACATGCGTTTGACACCCAAAGGTAATTGCCATTTTCTTTTTTAGTTCCTTATTTAACATGCATTTTTTGCCTTTTGATCCGTTAAAGTTAACCGTCCTTATCCCATCCATTTACGTTGTATTTTCCTTTTCTCTGTGGAAATTTCTAAAGCAATCCAATTTCGAATGCAGTGAATTGGGTTCCGAATCTATACAATCTGGGGAAAAACGTTTTGACGAACTGGGCTGGGGTTCTTTTGATAATAGTAGCTATGACACAGTTGCAGCATGGGATATCAATCCTATCGACTTAAAGGTACATGAAAATTTTCATAATATCAGCAATTTTTCCAGTTATGCATTTTCATAATACCATAAGTACTTCTTCCAGTATTTCTCTCAATTGTAATCCCGATTGACTAACAATTGCAACACATTCGTACATCAGGGAGCCGCGCATGACCATAGTGAGGGTTCTTTATTTGGTCCAGAAGAATGGGGTCTGAATCCGATTAAAACTGGGTCTAAAACCACTAAGCAGGGCCCATTTTTCGATTCTGTTCCAAGCACTCCAACGCAGGGCCCGTTTTTCGATTCTGTCCCCAGCACCCCAAAGCAGGGCCCGTTTTTCGATTCTGTCCCGAGTACCCCACAGTACAACTTCTCTAGTTCACCCCACGTGGATAACCTGTTCATGAGGAATAATAGTCCATTTGCAGATTCTGTCCCAAGTACCCCAATGTACAGTTCTAACACCTCGCCTAGAAAGTTCGGTGAAGGTTCGGAGGATCGGTACTCATTGGACAGTTTTTCGAGATTCGATTCGTTCAATATCCATGACAGTGGCCCGTTTGGCTCTCGCGAGTTGTCGAGATTCGATTCCATGCGGAGTACTAGGGAGTCCGCGGACTTTGACCAGGGGCATTTTGGTCAACAAGAGTCGCTCACGAGGTTTGACTCATTCCGCAGCACGGCCGACTCAGATTATTATAACTCTGGTCTATTTCCTCCTCGTGACTCGTTTTCTAGGTTTGACTCGATGCGTAGCACGAGGGACTCTGACTACGGTCAAGGCTTCTCGTCGTTTGATGATGGTGCGGATCCATTTGGGTCGGGCGAGCCATTTAGGACGTCGAATGAATCACAAACGCCGAGGAAGGAATCTACGGATAATTGGAAAGCTTTCTAGTTCTTCAATTTTGTTCCATTTTTTTTTTTTTTTCGTTTGTGTCATTTCTTTGTCTCATGGGAAGATTGTGTTGATTTGTTGTGTTCCACCCATTCAGACGGACTATTGAGGTCATANAGTAGAGTATTTGTTTGGAATATTGTTGTAGGATTGTAAAATTATAACAATATATGAAGGCCTTCTATGGACTGGGTTTGAGATGTCAATAAACTCCGTGAAAATTTATGGATGATTGGTTTTCTTGGATTTAAAAATGACGACTCATGTGACTCAAGGTACCGTTTAGATGGGGTTTAGATTGAGGAGATCTTTTGGGAGAAGGATACTGAAGCCCCAAATAGCCAAGGATATTATAGCTATTGTTCCACAACCTTTTTAGCTTTTTCTTGATTTCCATTTTTGGGAAGTTTTTGTGATAGTATCAATGTGGGAAAATAAGAACCAATTAAGGGTGGAATTGGATATAAGTGAGAAGAAAAGAGAAAAATTCAAATTGAAGTTAGGGGTATTTTAGTATTATCACATGCCAAACTGGCTAAAATGATGTTTTTTTACAAAACATATTCAAAATTTATGTTTTGTAAATTTATATGACCATTTAGTGGTATTAACATTTGAAAACTTGAAATTAGGGGTATTTTAGTATTATCACATGACAAATCGGCTAAAAGAGATGTTTTTTACCAAACCTGACCAAAATTTGTGTTTTGTGAATTTATACGGTCATTCAGTGGTACTAACACGTATAATTAAGCATGACGACCAGCTCATGCTTTGCATGTGAGCTAATGCTCAAATCACAATGCAACACGTATCCAAAATAAAAGAAAAGAGAAAACAAAAGAAAGCTGAAAATAAAAGAAGACGCAGTGACAACTCTCTAAGTGAGAGTGACGCCTTCCTCATTACACGAGAATGACCAAATAAAAAGCTGGGAAATAAAAACGGGAACATGAAGTGACGCATGAAATAAAGCACGCATGCATGAATATGCACAATGAACAAATCTCCTATGCTGATTTCCTGGTTAAGGACACAAGTATAACGGTATAGTTTGTTCGCTCCTCCGAAAATTGATCTGCCATTTTATTTGCATAAATTTTGAAGACATCACCCACATTAATGGAGGTCCCAAAATGGAAGGCCAACTTTGGCTCCATGAAAGACCGAACATTACCCGCCACCACCTTCGCACTCTTGTAATTGTCGAAAACGCCATCATTATTGTTACCCTCATCATAAGTGGCATCATATGGAACACGAACAATTTCCATTTTGTCCAAACTAAATGATCCTTCACCGCTTATTATTGTCTCCACTTCTCGTAGGCAAGGCGCATATATAGGCACATTAAATGAATGTAAATCCTCCTCCTTCACAAGGCCCTGCATATATCATCCAACCATAATAATTTTATTAGAATATTTTAATTTACGTACCACATTAATTAATTATCATATGAATATCTATTATTTCATAATAAGAATGTACGTAGATTTTAATTAATTACCTGAGCAGCCATTTCCGAGAGTGCTTCTCCAAGCAAAGTAAGAAGTTTGAATTCATCTTCGCAACAAGGATTAGCAGAGGTTCTACCCACAAATGCCAAAACCATACGGCCACCTGATATAAATTCTTCAGCCCTCATTCTTAGGAACTTGGAAAAATCCTTTTGGAATTGGCTTGCATAAGCTTCCCATACTTGCGGTGAACTATTAATCGAAATGCATATATTTTCCTTGTTATTCGTCCCTAGACCTTCCGGAACCTACCGAGCATTTCATATATTAGAAGTATTAATTTGAGAAAGGGTTTTAACAACTAATCCCATAAAACAGGTATAATTAATGACTAAATATGCTAGTTTATTAATAGTTAATTGTTATCTAACTATTGATTTCGGATCATGTATGCCTAATTTATGCATTAGACCTGTAGCTCTTATTAATAATGACGAGTTATTTGGTTTTGATTGCATTTCTTTGTTAAATTTGGAAAAATTGATAGGGTTAAGTTTTAGTGAATTTTTGCTTTTCAATGACAATATCAATAGTTTAGCCATTTTTTAAATAAATGCACGGGAACGTAATATTTACCTGCGAGAGCCAATGAACACTAAAGGAAGAGTAAGCAAAGTGTAGGGTATTCTTGGGGAATAGGGCATCATAAAATGAAGCAGGCACGCCGTATATAAAAAAGTTTAACTTATTATTTCCTTCTTTCCGGTCCTCTTTGAAACTGGACGCCAGTCGGAATACTTGATTGAAGTCGTTATCAGGTAGATCATTCAGAAACAGCTGGAGTTGAGGCAAGTGATGAGTTTTTTCAAGGTCTTTTGAGAGTAAATCCTCAATCGTGTCCATTACATGGGAGATGAGGAAAAAAGTATTGGGTCCCGATGCGCATCCAAGGTCGGCCATTCTCATACATTTTGGGAATACTATTTTGTTATTATACTCAGCAAACATGTTTTTGAGGGCCTCGTCTATCAACGGCCATGATTTTGAGATCACCACTTTCTGCATAACAACAAAATCAACTTAGCAAGTAATTACATATATATATGCCATATATATAGACTAAATAAAGTGATCAATAGAGAGAGAGAGAGAGAGAGAGAGAGAGAGAACTGGAGGGCCTGAGTTTTTGGCATAACTAGTTTCACCATCTCCACCATTCATATGAAAAAATTGCTTCACATGAGTCATATTGATCTCTAGCTATTAATTATCAGCTCGACTAATTAACTTTATGTTTTTCTGCTTCAGAATGGCTGATGATGTACCGATTACTGGTCTTGTATGTGTACTTATATAGAGAGAAGGAGAAAGAAAAAGCCAAATTCCGCCTCGCTAATTAAGCACAAAGTGTTCCGGAGACATTTAGGCAAAAATGTACACGTTACGGACATGCATGCATGTTGTTGGGAAATATTTAAGAGAAAATTGCAATTTTAGTCCAATAACTTAGGTTGTTTCCCACTTTAGTCCAGTAACTTGGACCGATCTAAAATTGGTCCAAAAACTTCTAAAATGTAGTTAAATTAGTCCAATTCCGGTCCCCGTCGCCGGAATCCGATCGGAATATGCTGAGTTGGCAATTCGGATTCTGGCGACGGGGCCTGGAAATTGGACTAATTTAACTACATTTTAGAAGTTTTTGGACCAATTTTGGATCGGCCCAAGTTACTGGACTAAAGTGAGAAACAACCTAAGTTACTGGACTAAAATTGTAATTTTCTCCAATATTTAATGTGCTGTGTATAATCTAAATATTATGGACAATAAATATAATATATAGATATATATATAATTATATTAGCTATTGCCCATGAGCTACGTAATTGTTATTGAGTTTATTATGTGATTATAAATTCTTACGAGAGCAGTCATGGATTGCTAGAATTAGATTAAATAGATTCGGATTGCAGTTTAAACTCAATATTTTGAACTCTTTCTATGCGTTTAATTATCTGCTAGTTTAGATATGGTCGGCTAATCTATCAATCTGATTGCTTTTTTTTTTCTTCAATGGATATGCGCATGAAAGGAGACTTTTTTATTGGTTTCATTATAATAATATACTGCAACTTGATTTCGGATGATGTGAAATTATTGATGGATCCAGCCGCAGCGCCTTGCTTAACATGTCAGGAATCCTATCATTATGCTAATCTATACATCTAATTTTTTATTTTTTTTTATTCAATGGATGCGCATGAAAGGTGACCTTTTATTGGTTTGATTATATTAATATACTGCAACTTGATTTCGGATGATGTGAAATTATTAATGGATCCAGCCGCAGCCTTGTTGAACATGTCATCAATCCTATCATTATGTTAATTAAAAAAAAAAATTGGGCACGTGCGTTGAATGTGTCTTGCTGTGACTGGATAAGAGATGTGTGATTGAGTTTTTTTTTTTAAAAACCCTGAATGGTGGGATTAAGGCTAGAGATGTTAAATGGTCCTTGGCCCGACGGGTCGGCCCGTTTAATCTAAAAATAATAGGGTTTAGAGCCTTTTATTAGCAGCTCGTTTAAATCCGCGTTTTTTAGGCTCGGACCGTTTAGCCCGAAGTCCACTAGGGCTAGCCCAAAAACCGCTAGGGCTAGCCCTAGAGATGTTAAACGAGCTAGCCCTAGCGAGCTTCGGGCTAAACGTTCCGGGTCTAAAGGCCCGGATTTAAACGGGCTACCAATAAAAGGACTTAACCCTAAACCTAGCGGACTTCGGGCTAAACGAGCTATAATAATAATAATAATAATAATAATAATAATAAATTACAACACATAGTTAACAGTTTTTTTCAACAGCTATTTAATATTTACCTCTATATATATACAACTACACTTCATATATGAACACACATTACAAACTCTTAAATAACATATTGTTTCTCAATAGAAAAATAAATGTTCGAATTATTACTTATAACTACCATTTGACTAGTTATTTCGTATGCTTCGAGAATTTTCACAATATAGCATACTGGTGAATTTATATTCTATCACTATATTCTATGTGTTAGGTCTTTGTCTCATTTGTTTTTTATCCGCCGTTCTGATTGGCTTAAATATTTTGTGTAAATAGAATAAAATTTGTTAATAATTATCTATCAAAATAATAATACATTATAACTCATAATTATATGTGAAGTAAAATAATAAAATTGTAATATACAAGGAATTATGAGACATATTCCTTACCTTTCTAAAAACATATACACCACCCAACCCAAGTTAAACGGGCTAGCCCTAGCGGTTTTTGGCCTAGCCGTAGCGGACTTCGGGCTAAACGGTCCGGGTCTAAAAAGCCCGGATTTAAACGGGCCAATAAAAGGCCCTAACCCTATATTTTTCCGGGCTAAACGTTGGTCCGTCGGGCCAAGGACCATTTAACATCTCTATCTAACCCGTTTAACTTGGGTTGGGTGGTGTATATGTTTTTATAAAGGTAAGGAATATGTCTCATGATTCCTTGTATATTGTAATTTTGCTATTCTACTTCACATGTAACTATGAGTTCTAATGCATTATTATTATTTTGATAGATAATTATTAACAAATTTTATTCTACTTCACAGCAAAATATATAAGCCAATCAGAACAGCTAATTAAAAACAAATGAGACAAAAACCTAACACATAGAATATAATGATAGAATATAAATTTAGGTGAAAATCCCGAAGCGTACCAAATAACTAGTCAAATGGTAGTTATAAGTAATAGTTCTGAAGTGAGTAAGATTTCACTCGGGCTCCTTCGACCGGTCGGCCTCCGTACCTGCAAGAACCCAATGCCGGGAGGAGTCCCGGCGTCGGGCCTCCGACGCTCAAGTCAGAATTACTCCAAAACTCCAAATCTCAAGTGTAGTAATGAATGTACAGAGAATGAGATACCTTAGCCCCCTTTTATAGGGGGAGTGTACCTTATGGCCCAAGTTGGGCTTGTCCAATCATGCCACGTGTCTTGGCCATGTGTAGGCTTATTCTTCAATATATTCCCCTTTTATCCATTAAACCCGGTCTAGTATAATATCCTATATCATCTAGTCCCCCCACTCTAGTCGAGTAAGCATGACTCGATCCAAGAGTGAAATTCCTCTTCGGGCTGTTTCCGTTAACCTGCCACTGAGGTTATAATTTGAATAAATCATCGACCACCATATAGTCACCAAACCTCCAAATAAGCATCGGGACCCCAAATGAACACCGAATGACCACTAAGGTCAAAAACCGAAAGACCCGCCGCTGAGGTCGAATACCGAAAGACCTGCCTCTGAGGTTGAATACCGAGAGACCCGCCACTGGGGTCGAACACCGAAAGCAGAACGACAACTGAGGCGAAAACCGAATGACCCGCCACTGGACTTGAACTCCGCCGCCGCCTCCCGCCACCCCTCCGCGGCCGCTGCTCCACCTTCGACCTCCTCAACACCTGCTTCTGGCGGTGCCGCACGGCAGACGTGGCCACCGGCGGCCGCTCAATTGCCTCGTCGACTGTCGGAGGCGGCTTGACCCGCCACTCCCGGACGGGTACTACGGCAACGCCGTCGTCTGGCCGGCCACCGTCTCCGTCGCAACGGATTTGCTCGGGAATCCGCTCAAACACGCGGTGGAGCTCGTGAGGAGGGCGAAATCGGAAGCGAGCGGGGAGTACGTGAGGTCTACGATTGGACGGCGAAAATTTCCGGTGACGAGGACTTACGAGGTCTCGGAATTTACGCGGATGGGGTTCGACAGAGTGGACTACGGGTGAGAGGAGCCGGTGTACGGTGGTATTCCGGTGGCCAGCATAGAGGGGTCTCCACCGACGAGTTATTACAGCGTGTCACGGGACAGTAAGGGCGAAATAATGGGAATATTGGTTCCTATGTGTTTGCCTGAGAAGGCCATGGAAGTGTTTGAAGAGGAGCTCAGGGTGATGCTGAAAGGAGATGCTAATCTGAGCTGTGAAGAGTTGGGCGATGGAAAGAGTGAGATTTTTATCAAATCTGAGCTGTGAAGAGTTGGATATGAATTTTTTTTTTAGTTTTTATCCTGGTCAAGGTTATAGGGTCCATTATTTATTTAAAATAAACAAAAAATATGTGGAAAAAAAAAGTTGTGGAAAAGACTAAAACGGCCGGATTTTGAAAATCCGTTTTTCTAATTAAATTTTTATTAGAAAAACGGATTTCCATAATCCGTTTTTGTTTTTGCTTTTTTTTTTTAAAAGAAAACGGTCAAATTTAATAATAATAATAATACATCTACTGTATAACACGGATTTTCGAAATCTGTTTTTAATTAAAAAAAAACGATTAAAACGGATTTTCAAAATCCGTTTTTTGCTTGTTAAAAATACCTGCGAAATCCTCCCCAACCACAGAACATTCGAACCCAACCCATCTCCCCTTCCCTTTCTTATCTTCCCAAATTTTTTTTATCTTTTGTTCGATTTTTTGTGAATTGAATCTGCATTAAAAAAAACAAATTTTCAATCAATCGTCGAAGAAGAGGTTAGTTGTTATTTTAATATAATGTAATATTAATTTTTGGTTGTTTATGAATGTTTAAGAGATATATTTGGTTAATTGAGTATTGTTTAGAAAATCTTGAATGTTTGTTTAATATATGTTGAATATTTATCCAAAGTTTATGAATTTGATGTTATTGTTGGATTATGGTGATTAGGGTTTTTGTGGTGTTTTCGATAAATTAATTGACAATTTTTTTTTTGTTGGAGTAAAAATATAATTAATTATATGTTGTTGTTGGAAATGAGTTTTAAATGTAGATTGGTAAAATAATAATTGAAACATTCTCGGGTGTTTGATTAGCCATTTTAAATGTAGATTGGTAAAATAATTGAAATTTTAAATGTAGATTGGTAAAATAATAATTGAAATTTTCTCGGGGTGTTTGATTAGCCATTTTGTGTTGTTGTAATTTGTAAAATAGAAATTTTTTGGTGCAACAGGTTATAAATGTCGTCTAACGGTCCCTACTTTGTTAATGTGTACTGGAAAATTCCCCAGAGTGAGTTATGGAATTTTTCAAATTATATGTCTCGTCCGGATTGTTCATTTGTTATTAATGGAATAATATCATATGAATAATTGGTAGATATGATTTACGAAAATGGTGGGTTTCGTGATAGTTGGACAATTTCGGATATTATTTTGATGGCGAGACAACAGGATGGTTCGTTTATTACCGGAAGACTGAATAATGATAATCTCTTTCGTGGATTTACTACTCTCCTCCTATGTCCTATGAGTTTTTGTATATAGTGTTGGAAGCAAACACACAGGTTACACAGGTTGAGGATCCTACGCCATCATATGGTTACGAGGGAATGTTTGGTGGTGAGGGTACGTGGACTACGCATGCCGGTAATTTTGGTGAAAGGACGAGTAATTTCGGCGAAGGGACGAGTAATTTCGGCGAAGGAACGAGCTTTACCATGAGAGGACCGGACATTGAGGAAGAAATTGTTGGAGATGAAGATTTCATTTCCGGTGAAGACGATTTCACGGATGAGACCTCGGAAACCGAATCGGACAGATCAATTAATGAGGAGAGCGAACAAGAATTCATTGAAGAACACCCCTTTCCAAATAAAGGCCTCTACGATTATCGCGAGATGACTGAGTGGGATCGTCGTGTGTAGACAGGGACGAGTATGCGTTGCCAGTCTGGGATGGGCATGCCGAGACTATCCGTTTGGGTACAGTTTTTCGTACCAAGGAAGAAGCCCGGACTGGTATTATGGCCTGGAATGTTGAGAATCTTAGGGCGGTCCGGACAAAAGATTCCAACAAGAAGTCGTTCAAAGTTGTGTGCAGATCAGCTGAAGTTGTACCATGTATATGGAAGGCTCGGGTGAGTCTTAACAAACGGGATCACGACATGTGGGAGGTAACCGAATGGACCGATAGCCACACTTGCATGCAGGTGTTTGAGAAAAATGACCACAAGAATGTGACCGCCACCATGATCTCAAATCTTCTGTTGGCTAAGATTCAGAAGCAGGTGACCTACAGTATGGAAATGGTCCAGGCCGACTTAAAAAATGCCTGGGGCGTCGATGTCAGCTATAAGAAGGCGTGGCACGGGAGAAAAAAAGTCATTGATCAACTGCATGGCACGTGGGAATCGAACTTCGCACACGTGGGAATCCTCTCCTCCGCCGACCGCNCCTCTCCTCCGCCCCGCAAGAAAATCGCGAGCTGCCGGCGCGCCTCCAGAGGTCAGCCTCGCCGGAAAATCGCCGACCGCCGCTGCCCCTCTCCTCCGCCATTCCAATCGCGAGCAGCCCCGGGCCCGTTCGCCGGAGATCCGTTCGAATTTTCCGAGTTCCGTTCGTTCGACCCATCTCTCCAATTTTCTGAAGACGGGTAACCTTTTCGGAACCTCCTCGTTAGTTGTTATTCGAATTTAGATATGTTCGATGATTTCATGTTCGATGCCTCGAGTGTCGTTGATTGAAGCCATTATATGCCGGTTCGTATTTTTCGTGAATAGTGTTATTAACCGGGCATTGATAACTCTCGTCTTTTATAAATCGTGTTATGAATTGTTGTGATATCTTATCGTGCTCGTTTGATATATTTGCAATTGGATATCAAAGTCATTGCCGTCACTTTGAATTATTGTGGAACTGCATTTAACGTGGTATATTTCGTGGATTTGGTTTTGGTTTTATGTATCGTTTAGGTTATGTGATTTTTGATGTGTTAATCGTGTTTCGAATGCATATGCGAGCCTTATGAATTTATGTGTTCAATTCGATTCAATATATATTTGCAATTGGATATCAAAGTGATTGCCGTCACTTTGAATTATTGTGGAACTGCATTTAACGTGGTATTTTTCATATAATGAAAAAAATGAATTATTGGGTAACCGAAAATTCAATCGGTTCGATTGGTTTTGACTGAATTAGCAGCAAATAGATCTTATCATGTTTTTCTTCCTTAACTTTTTAAGTGTGTGCCCACATATTTTGAGCTATAGATATAGGGATTTAAGCTCCAAATATAACATTAAATTTGATTAGATGTATACACATGGTCAAAAAATAAAACAAGACATATAAATAAAAAAACATACAATTATAAACAAAAACAAAAAGATAAATTTGAAAAACATTAACAATTTTTTAGACACCACATATATTGAAAAATATAAAAGAAATTGCTGAATAAAAAGTTTGGGAGTGTAAATCAAAACTATAAAGAAATGAACAAATCATAAATTCTGCTCCGATTTTGAACGGGAATAAAAATAAGACATATTCAAAAAGCTAATTAACACAAAACCTAATCACCCTTATAAGTCCAAATCGGTAGCTTGAAAAATTCCACAACGAAGTGACAGATTTTCAACTCTACTACAAATTGTTTCCTTTGCCCAAGTCCATTCGTAATTATTATTGTTTTAACCTCATTTGGTTGAACAAATTAAAATAACTGAAAAAAATATACCCACGCAAAATACCTCAAATTGTTTCCTTTAACAATATACCCACGCAAAATACTACTAAACAATATATTACAATATCGGTCATTTTTGCAGAAAATGACATCGTCATCCTCGAACCATCAACCCTACACCCCACACCCCGGCCCCAGTGACCCGTCACTTCTATATCTTCAGAACCGCCACCGGTCCAAGGCGGTATATGAGGACGCACCGGGGTTTCACCCACCGGACCTGGGAGGTGATCGAGAAGGCCGGATTCGGGCCTTTATTTCGGATGGGGCGGGTCCCGACAAACAATCCCCTCATTACATGCCTGCTGGAGAGGTGGCGTCCCAAGACGCACACCTTCCACTTCGACTTCGGGGCCACGATCACTCTCCAGGACGTTCAGATACTCTTTGGCCTCCCCGTCAGCGGGGAACCGTGCTGGGGACAGACCGTACAGCGGACTCCCCAAGAGTGGAGAGTTCATTGCGTAGACGCTCTAGGGTACCTCCCATATGTACAGGTATATTTTTACCTAAAACTTTTATTTGTTGATTTTAATTTTTTTTTTAAGTGTTTATGTATATATATATATATATATATATATATATAAACGTATTTCAAGGATCACAGGGACCAGGACTACGACCCCAAGACTTGGGACATAAATAGGCAGTACCTGTATTTCAGTAGTCTGGAAGAGGAGTGCAAGCGCCCTCTGGAGGATGGACTCCCTACATCAGAGTACGAGAAGAGGGCAAGAGCCCTGATACTCTGGTGTATTGGGTCCTTCTTCTTCCCCGACCATCGGGCCAACGGAGTCAACCTCTATTAGTTGTCCCTGTTGAATGTCATCGATGCCATTCCAGGGTACAGCTGGGGTGGAGCACTTCTGGCCGGGGTATATAGAGCGCTCTGCGACGCCTACGAGAGGAACGAAAAATATATCAAGAGCTGCGTGCAGTTGATTCAGGTAAATTTATTTACTTCTTAATTGCAAATTAATTTAATTTATTATAAATTACAATAATATGTGCTAAAAAATGTATATGTCCATTTGTGCAGGTTTGGGCATGGGAACGCATCCCTCGTGTTCGCCCATTAATGAGAAAAACACATTTCGGCTCTCAGGCTGCTTGTCTGTTGGGTGCAAGGTAATAATAACCTTTATTTATATTCAACACTTAAGTTATTTCAATTATCAAAATTTGTAGTTACAATTAGTTTTTTTCTGTGATTTTTAAGGTGGGTGGGATCGAGGGACATGAGGCACCTGGGGACGGGCACCGCTACCATCCGAGATCAGCTGAGTGGCCTGAGAGAGACTGATGTAAGTTTCTTAGGTCATAATAATAAATAATTATTATTTTTTTTTATTCTATTTTTTATTGAATTCATTAATAATTCTATAAATGTTTTTTTTTTTTACAGTTCGATTGAGTACCCTATCAGACGTACATAGACGAGGGTCGGCTCCCGGACGAGTGTACACGAGACCGACATCTCTGGATGTACAAGGGGTGGATCTTCTGCTGGAACATCGTAGAACCCCACCAGCCTGATAGGGTGCTCCGCCAGTTTCGGTGCCACCAGCCTATCCCCCAGACGCCGATCATTACTAGTCTGGCCGACTGGGACAACCGCCACAAAGGCCAGGGCATGACTGGGAGGGCATACACCGATTGGGGTGCCTTCCATGCTGATCTTGGGAGGATCTGGACCGAAGAGAGAGATCAGAACGTCCTCCCAGATGTCCCGGTGGATCCCTTCCTGCAGCCGGCAGAGGGGTACATTGAGTGGTATCACAGTAGAACTGTGAGACTATTCAATGACCCCAACAACTACGCGGCGATCTCACAGGACGGCGGGTTTCAGCCATATGCCGACCGGGAGAAGTGTCAGGTAAGTGTCTGCTAATTTGTGATTATTATTATTATTATTATTATTATTATTATTATTATTATTATTATTATTATTGAAGTAATTATTATTATTATTATTATTTTAATATTTGATAGTTATTTGAATTTTATTTTGCAGAATTCGGGTACGGAGGGGACGTATAACATGCTATCGAACATTGAGACATTGATACGCTACCTCCCCAAGCGCAGTCACAGTTCCAGCAAGCCCAGGAACTTCTGTACGCTTCTCTGACTGTTGGGGGTCAGTCGGTCACACAAGGGGCGTCATCGGAGCAAATTCTATCTCAAGAGGAGTACGCCCAACCCCAGCATACACAGTCTCAGCGGGCGAGGCATAGACCGGCGCCCCACATTGGTGGAGGGAGAAGACGCCGTGACCGCGAACCCGCCAGAAATGAAGAAGACGAAGAAGGTGAGATTTTTTTATTTAACTACAAATATATATATATTTCTTTTGTTTTTATTTATTTGTCCGGTCGAATTACTGATTTTTTACAAAAATTAATTAATTAGGTGGACAAGAAGAAGAAGAACCAGCCACGCCTGGACCGACCGTAGGATCGTCTTCTTTCGTACCGGGGCCTCGAAGAGGGTCCCGAAAACGCGTGACTAAGAAAACATTTACTCCTAGTTAGTTTGTTTTTGTATTCTGTGATTTTGTGGACATTTTCTTTTTTTTTTCTTTTATTTTTTGTACTGGATTTTCAGATTTATTCTTGATGGTTTTGAGTATATATTTTGTGGTTTACTTTTTTTTGTCGGTAATTGTGGTTGTCTTTTTGTATATAGTGTTTCATGTATGTATGTATGCTAAATTTTATCATTTGACGAATGAATTGAAATTAAAGTGATATTATTTTCTGTTCAAAATGTTAAATCAAAATTTATAAAATATCTTCATATTGAAGGATAATTATTTTTCGATTAAAATAAACGCGATCGCTGGTAAACGAGTTCGTGAGCATCTAAGAGAGTCGAGCCTAACTTAAAAAAATTAAAAAAAATATATATATACTTAAAAACGGATTCTTAGAATCCTTTTTTTATAACAAATAAATAAACACGGATTATTAAAATCCGTGTTCAGCGCTAAAACGGATTATCACAATCCGTTTTCGAAAAACAGATTTTAGTAACACATTTTTTACTGAATTAATTAAGAGTAATCGCGTCATTAACGGAAGACGGATTCTCAAAATCTATTTTTCATCGAAATTAAGCAAAAACGGATTTTGAGAATCCGTTTTTCATTGAAACACGGATTCTCAGAATCCGGTCGTTTTATTTTTTTCCACAACTTTTTTTTTTTATTTTTTGCCACATATTATTTTTTTTTAAAATAAATAAATGATTCCAAGGTTAT